TCCTCCTATGGCTCCCCCCCAGCAGCCCTACTCCGCTTGGACCGCCGGCACCGCCGCTTCCGCAGCTCACCTCTCGGGCGCGTCTCCCGCGCCCTCAGCCACAGGCAGTGTGACTCCTTTCCCCTCCTCTGGTTTTGTTGGCATGCTTAGTCACGCTGGAACCCCCGCCCCTTCTATGTATTCGGCTGCTATTAATGAGAATGTGATTCAGTACTCCGTCCCACCTCCTCCCCCACATCCTCCCCCCTCCACCACACTGGACTTTGTCCTTGACAGTGGAGCCACCGAGTCCGTCCTTCGTGATGCTGGTACCCTTCACCCTCTCCCAGCCCCCACCTCCCTCCTTGGTGCCGATTCCAGCTTCTCTATTCCCTGTCGCCACACCTCTACCCTCCCCTGTCCCCTCTTCCCCTCAGGTACCGTCACTGGTTTACACATCCCCTCCCTCCGTACTAACCTCCTCTCCCAGCGATCCCTGCAGCAGGCCGGTATCACCACCGTCTTCCCAGGTCGCGCTAATCACTGCCTCCTATACCATCCCACAGGTCGCCTCCTCTCCCGTATTCCCTTTTGTCCTCGCTCCCGCCTATATACCCTTCGAGTTCCTCGTCTTCCCTCTGCCCAGGCAGTCTCCCGCTCCCTCCCCCACCTCACATCCCTCCCCCTCCTCTCCCTTCTTCTAACCCAACCATTCCCCCCCTCCCCCCTGACCCAACCTGCTCCTGTCGATCCCTCTCCCATCCCACCGTCCTCCTCCACCACAGGCTTGGTCACCCCAACTTTGCCACCCTCCGCTCGACCGTCTCCTCAGGTCTCCTTCGAGGTCTTCCCCTCACCCTCCCTCCCCTCCCTCCCTCCCTTGCCCCACCCTGCTCCGTCTGTGTCCAGAGCAAGCTCAGGCAGCGGCCGCATCGGAGTTCCCCCTCCGCTGCTGCCCAGCCGCTTGATCTTGTTCACATGGACCTCTGGGGCCCCAACCCCTCCCCTTCCCGCCAGGGCCATCGCTACATGCTTGTTCTGGTCGATGATCACAGCCGATATTCGTCCGTCTCCCTTCTTCGCTCGAAGGGTGACGCTCCGGCTGCGATCATCGCCTGGCTCAAGCAGGCGAGCACCCACTTTGGCCGCCCTGTGCGCCGCCTTCACTCTGATGGCGGTGGCGAATTCCTTAATCGTCAGGTAGCCTCCTACTGTGAGCTTCATGGCATTCGCCAGACTCACACCCTCCCCCACTCCCCCCAACAGAATGGTGTGGCCGAGAGCCGTGTTCGGGAGATCACCAAGATTGCGCGGTGTCTCCTCGTCCATGCCTCTTGCCCCCCTTCTCTGTGGGGCTATGCCCTCCTTCACGCCACCCTCCTTACTAACCTGTACCCCCACCCTATCCTTCCCTCCACCACTCCCACCGAGCTCTGGACATCGGCCAAGCCTGACGTCTCCTCCCTCCGTGTGTGGGGCTCCAGGGCGTATGTCCTCATTCACCCTGCGGATCGCCCCCGCACCATGGGAAAGCTCGCCTCCCGTACCCTCCCCTGCATCTTCCTTGGTCATAATCCCTCCTCCCCGGACTACCTCTTCCTTCACCCCCCCTCAGGTCGCTTCCTCCGCAGTCGGGATGTAGTCTTTGATGAGTCCACACCCTACTATTCCACTCCTCCCCCCACTGACCCTCTCGCCCCTGCTCCCAGGCCTCTCAACTGGTCCGACACTATCCCACCCCCTCTTCTCCCTCCCCCTCCCATCCTCCCTCCCGCTCCACCTCCTCCATTCCCCGCCGCCTCAGTCCCTAGTGCTCCCCCCTCCTCTGGTGACATATTTGACCCTGACCCTTTTTTCCCCCCCGCCTCCCCGTCCCACTCCTCCCCCTCCGCTCCCTCCCATCCCCCCCCTCCCCTCCTCCCCCCTCCCCTCCTCCCCCTCCCCCCCACGTCCCCCTCCCCCCTTGCGTCCCACCCGCTCCATCCTTACCCGGTATCCCCACACCAGGTCGCGTGACGCAGTCCTAGGTGCCCCGCCTCCTGTTATCCTCTCTTCCTCTCCCTTGCCTCCTCTCTCCCCTCTCATGGACCTCCTTTTTCAGACAGTCTTACAACAAAACACTAGCCCAACCCTGCCGTCGAGCTCCAGTACAGCAGCCCCACCAGCAGCAGCAACACCTGCAGCAGCAGTTCCACCCACCGCAGCAGCACCAGCAGCAGCAGCCGTCGCTCCTTCCTCGCCTTCACCCGCAGCAGCAGCAGCGGCGGCAGCAGATGCAGCAGTAGCAGCCGCCTCAGCAGCAACAGCAGCAGATGCATCCTCAGCAGCAGCAGCAGCAGCAGCTGCTGCAGTCCTCCCATTCATTTTCCACTCCTCCCTCCTCGAGGACTCCCATGAGGAGTTCCTCAACCTCCACCTACATGATCCAGCCCTCCTACCCATCTCTCCTGACCTCAGCGGCACACCAGTCTTCGCCTTCTCCTCCGCCCCCACCATCTTCGTCCCCGCCACGTACGAGGAGGCCATGGCGTGCCCTGACGCTCACCTCTGGCTCGCGGCCATCCTCAAGGAGTTGGAGGCGTTTATTGCCAACTCCTCCTTTGTGGATGTGCCCCGCCCTCCCTCTACCACGAACGTGGTCAAAGGGAAGTGGGTGTTTCGGGTGAAGCAGCTTCCTGGCGAGCCGCCGGTCTACAAGGCCCGCTACGTCGCCAAGGGCTTCACCCAGCGCTACGCTGTCGACTTCTTCGACACCTTCTCTCCCACCGCCAAGCCCGCTACCATTCGCGCAGTCCTCGACCTCGCCGCTCGCCTCAACATGGAGATTCACTCCATGGACGTCTCCAACGCATTTCTCCAGGGGGTCTTGCGCGAGCTCATTTTCATGGAGCGTCCTGCAGGCTTCCACCTCCCCTTTCCTTCCAACTCTGTCTGGCAACTGCGTCGGCCGGTCTATGGGCTCAAGCAGGCACCAAGGGAGTGGCATGCCAAGCTTGCTGCCACCCTCGCCGAGCTTGGCTTCAGCACCTCCCGTGCCGACCCCAGCCTCTTCCTCCGCACCTCACCCTCCCCCTTCTACATCCTCGTCTATGTCGACGATATGATCCTCATCACTGCCGACTCCGCCGAGCTCGAGCGCGTCAAGCGTGAGCTTGGTAGCCGGCTCAAGTGTAAGGATCTAGGGGAGCTGCAGCACTATCTCGGTATGGAGATTACCCGCGCCCGTGCTACTCGCACCATCTCCCTCTCCCAAGGCCACTACCTGCAGCAGGTCTTGGAGCGGTTCGACATGGCTCGAGGCACCCCTCAGGTCACCCCTCTTCCTGTTGGGCACCACCTCACTCCCCTCACCTCCCCCTCCTCCTCCTCCCACCCCTACGCTGAGCTCATCGGCTCTCTCATGTATGCCATGGTATCCACCCGCCCTGACCTGGCATACCCCATCAGCGTTTTAGCCCGCTTCGTTGGTACCGGCAAGCATGATGCCGCCCACTGGCAAGCGGCCAAGCGAGTCCTCCGCTACCTTCGGGGGACCAAGGACTACGTCCTTACCCTTGGCGGCCCCTCCCCTCCCCTCCTCACAGGCTACTCTGATTCCTCCTGGGCTGACTCTAGGCCTGACCGCCGCTCCTCTCAGGGCTATGGCTTCTCTCTTGGCAGCGGCCTCATCAGCTGGCGCTCCACCCGCTCCTCCTCCATTGCCCTCTCCTCCTGCGAAGCAGAGCTGTATACCGCTACCATGGCTGCGCAGGAGGCCCGCTGGCTCTCCTTCCATCTTGAGGAGCTTGGTGCCCCTCAGCGCTGTCCCACCATCTGGTGCGACAACGCCAGCACCATCCACCTCACGAAGGATGCCGTGTTCCACGGGCGCTCCAAGCACATTGAGCTTCGCCACTACTTCATTCGCGAGCTTGTGCAGGGTGGCCACCTCCGGCTGGGCAAAATTGACTCTGCTGCCAATCTTGCCGACATCTTCACCAAAGCCCTCCCCCACGCCGCCCACTCATTCCTCCTTCGCCTTCTTGGACTCGCTCCCCCCATTCCCTTGTCCGCCTCCTGATTCAAGCCCTCTAGTCTTATGCATGTTGGGGGGTTGTGTTGTAATATATATATCTATACAACATGCATGCCTAGATTAGGAGGTGTAGTCATTATAATTATTGGGGGGTTGTTGGTTGGGTTGACCAACCCCACATTTGGGTTGGTCAAGATTGGATTTGGTCCTAGACATTTGGTTGGCACTATTCCAACCAAATGGTCCTTGGTCCTAGGAACCAACCAATCACCAAGCACCACACTTTGTGGTTGCTTGCCTTCCAAGCAATCTCTCTCATTGGTCCGCTTTGTGGCCAATCGGAGAGCACCACACTTTGTGGTTGCTTGCCCTACAAGCAACCTCTCCCATTGGTCCACTTTATGGCCAAATGGGAGAGCTTCCCCTCCAACTCTTCTTGCTCCTTGTTTTGTACAAAAGAGCCTTTTGGCTCCCTACTCAATTCAATCTTTTCTCTTCCAAGCTACTTCCTTCACTCCCCTCTTCCCCTTCTCCCCTCCTCCCCTCTTCTCCTTCTCCCCTCCTCCCCTCTTCTCCTTCTCCCCTCCTCCCCTCTTCTCCTTCTCCCCTCCTCCCCTCTTCCCCTTCTCCCCTCCTCCCCTCTTCTCCTTCTCCCCTCCTCCCCTCTTCCCCTTCTCCCCTCCTCCCCTCTTCTCCTTCTCCCCTCCTCCCCTCTTCTCCTTCTCCCCTCCTCCCCTCTTCCCCTTCTCCCCTCCTCCCCTCTTCCCCTTCTCCCCTCCTCCCCTCTTCTCCTTCTCCCCTCCTCCCCTCTTCTCCTTCTCCCCTCCTCCCCTCTTCTCCTTCTCCCCTCCTCCCCTCTTCCCCTTCTCCCCTCCTCCCCTCTTCTCCTTCTCCCCTCCTCCCCTCTTCTCCTTCTCCCCTCCTCCCCTCTTCTCCTTCTCCCCTCCTCCCCTCTTCCCCTCCTCCCCTCTTCTCCGCCTCCCTGCATCCCGCCGTCACCCATCAGGACATAGAGGAGTCGGGCAAGCCGCTGCCGCCAGTCAAGCTCTTCCCAATCGTCCCACCTCTCGACCTCCTTGGTGCGTGCGTTCTTGTGTGCGCTCCTCTGTGCGTGCGCTCCTTGGTGCGTGCGTTCTTGTGTGCGCTCTTGGTGCGGGCGCTCCTCGGTGGGGGCGTGGCGGCGTGGGCTGTTCAGCACTGAACCATTTCCCAACTCCCGAGGAGATAGCGTTGAGCAACCAAGGAGCACACCCTTGCCATGTTCCTTCCACACCAGAACCCCATGGGCGCTCGTGCTTTACCTTCGCCTCCCACCTTCCAGGCAACTGCCTGCAAGGCCTTCCCGTCGTTTCCCTCTGTTTCGTTGTTTCTCTTTCTGCCATTCCTTTTTCGCTTCCTTCCCCTCCCCATTCTGCTCCAGACTTATGGCCACTCCGGCTGCCCCTACCCTTGGGCCCCCCATACCCCTCCCCTCTTTTCCCATCCGCCATGCAAGCACCTGCAAGCCCCCCCTTCATGCACTCCCCTCAAGCCCTCCCCCTTCGTTACAAGCTCCCTTCTTTTCGCTTCCCTCGCTCCCCTTCATCGCCCTGTCCCTCCCATTCTTCGTCAGACCCCGTGCACCCGCCTGCCCTCCCTGCGCTCCACCTCGACTCGCTGCTGCCGCTCCTCCCACCCGCCATGCAAACTGCTGCCGGAGCCATTGCCCCTGCTGCCCCTTCTGCTGGGGAAGGGGCGGTGGTAGGATTTGCGGGGGGGAGGGGAGGGCGAGGGAGGGGACGGGGGAGAGGGCGAGGAGGGAGGGGGATGAAGCTGACAGATTGGGAACCTGAACCGACGGATGCTGATGGCGGTGGCGGTGCTGGTGGCGGTGGTAATGCAGCAGGCACAGCTGGTGGCGCTTTGGGAGCTGAGATCATTGATCTGGAGGCGGATGAGTCGCCTATTCACCAGCACCAGAGCTCCCCACAGCATCAGCGGGTGCTGCCCAAGGGGCAGCAGGGGCACTTACAGAGGCAGGGGGGCGGAGCAGCCGTGGTGGTTCGGCCGAAACAGATGGTGCGGCGGCAGCTGGTGTGGCGCGCCAATGAGCGCGAGGCGCTGAGGAAGGCGCTGCTGGCGTTCGGACTGAGTCGACCCGAGATGGTGAGAGAGAGGGAGAGGGGGGGGAGCATAACGAGGTTGTGAGAGGCGGACATGATGGGCGCCACGGCGGACATCTTGGACACCACCTGTGCTGTGGCTGGCGCTCAGTGCCATGCTTGTCCCCTCTCCCCCGCTCCTGTGCTGTGGCACATCCCCGCTCCTCCCCTCTCCCCCTATGGCAGGTGCGCACGGCCATGCGCGCCAGCCTCAAGAGCAGCCGCCACGGCGCGGGGGACATCATGGATGCCACCTGCCACTTCCTCCGAGCCTGCGCGCTGCTGCAGCCCGAACCTGCCATCGAGGCTCGGGACAGGGCGTGGGCCGAGCGTCGCCTCGCCGAGCTTGCCTCCATGGCTGACGTCCCCCTTGGGGTGAAGGGGGAAGAGGGGGGGGAAGGAGAGGAGGGTGGAGGAGGAAGGGCAGGAGGGGCAGGAGGGGCAGGAGGGGCAGGAGGGGCAGGAGGGGCAGGAGGGGCAGGAGGGGAGGGCGAAGAGGGGGCAGGAGCGAGGGAGGGCGAGGATGGGATAGCGCGGCGCGTGGGGTGGTGGGACCGCGTGTCGGTGGCCAGCTGTGCTCGCTCGTGGGTGCGGCGCCTGAGGATGCTGGAGCAGCTGGTGGGTGGGGCAGCTGGTGGGTGGGGCAGCTGGTGGGTGGGGCAGCTGGTGGGTGGGGCAAGTGGTATGTGGTGGGTGGAGTGCATGCGTGCGTGCCGTTCGTGTGAGTGTGGTATGTCTTCCCCACACCATGGCCCCCCGGGCTCAGCGCCACCCCCTACTCCTGGCGTGCCATGATCCCGCGCTCTCTTCCCTCTCTTCCCACGCCGCACAGAGCGGGGTCACTGCCTTCCTGCCTCCCAGCCCCTTGCCCATCATGCCCTGCCACCCTTGGACGCCCCCAGGCCATGCCCCCTGCACTATTCCCCACTCCTTGGCTCTCCCATGTGCGTCCCGACCCCCCATGGGGCGAGGCGGTTCCCTTTCCCGCGCGCCACCCCTTCCCTGCCCTCTGCGCCTGCCGCCACGGCCCACCTGCACGCACGCCCTCAACCGCGTCACGCTCCTCACCCGTGCTTGCGTCTTATCTCGTGCTGCCACCTGTCTCCGTGCATCCCATGACACGGGCGTCGCCTTCTGCTACTGCTCACTGAACTCTCCCCTTCGCCCAACCCACCCCAGGGCGGGTCATCGCCTTCTTCTCGCGCCACCCCTGCGCCCCCCTCACCTGCCACCACACGCACGCTGTGCCTCCATGCTACTGCTCACTGCACCCTCCCCTCCCGCCCCCCAACTCCCCTCTCCAGGACTTGCTTTCATGGTGCGCGGGTCCTGCTTCGCCCGCGCCTGTCACCTCACCACCAAGCGGTGCGCCACGACGCCATGGTGTCCGCTGACTGCACCTACCACCGCTCCCCTCCCCGCCCCATCTCCTCTCTCCCCATTCACCCCCACGGCGAGCCGATACTTTCATGTCGCACGAGCCGTGCGTCGTGTTCAACCACTCACTTGTCCGCTACCCGGCCATGCACCGCCACTTGCGCGTTCGAGGCCAACAACCCCCTCCCCTGTCTGCCCCCTCCCAATGCAACCCCCCCACCCCCTCCCAATGCAACCCCCCCACCCCCTCCCCAGGACGAGGTGATTCTCTTTGTGTCTCGCGAGCCCTGCTTCGCCCTGGCGTGCCACCACCTAGCAGCGCTCAACGATGCCACACTGCCCGCTGACTGGTGGGGGCGCGACGCGGACCTGGCGCTGCTGCTAGGCGTGGCAGCGCACGGGTACGGCGCGTACGAGGCGATGCACGAGGACCCCGTGTTCCAGAAGCACATCAGGAAGCCCAGGGCGGGGAGGGGGGGGCGGGAGGGAGAGGGGGGGGAGGGGGAGCAGGAGGGGTGGCTGGACGCATACACGCTGACGAGGCGGCTGAAGCGCCTGATCGAGCACCTCCTTCGGATCAAACGATCGGTGGGTTGTCTGTGCTGCATTGCTCGCCTCTTTTCCTGTGCTTGTTTGTTGCGGAGTTCAGTTTTTTTTGTCTTCTCTCATGCTTCGCCCCTGCAATGTTTGTTTCGTTTGCGTGCTTGCTTGTTGAAAGGAAATTAGTGTGCACTATGCTATGCAGTAGTTTGTTTTCTCACGGCTATGTCTTAAAATGGGCGTACGAATGCCTGCATTCACATGACCCCCCGTACCCCCCAGCTTGCTGTAAGAGCAAGTTGCATGAATTCAGTTTCAGGAGCATCTGGGGTAAACTGGACCAAGAAACCCTCCCCTGCCCTACTCCCCCGATTTCACCCTCTCCCCTCTCCTCTCCCCCCACGCGGCAAGGAAGCCCCAGCCTTGCCCCATTCTCCCAGGCCCACTCCAAGCAACCTATTCCCCTCACTCTCACCTTCCCTTACTTTCCTCCCATCCCTCCCCCCCCTCCTCCCCCCAGCTGGCGAAGAAGCCCCTGCCCCAGCCACACCCCATCAGGCCCGCGCCCGCCTTCTCCCCCGCGCACTTCAAGCAAGCCCTCCCCCCCGCATCCGATGCCTGGGCTGCTCCCGCTGCTGCTGCTGTTGCCACCGACGCTGCTGCTGCTGCTGCTGCTGGGGGGGACAGGAAGGTGGGGGGAAGGGAAGCCCTGGGGGTGAGGGAAATGGGGGGCGCAAGGGGACGGGGAGTGGGGAGAGGGGGGAGGGGCGGGCAGGGACTGGCTCATGTGGTTGGGAGGGGGATTGGGGGGGAAGGGGGTGGGGGAAGGGGAAGAGGAGGGAGGGGAGGAGGGGCGAGAGCAGAGGGGAATTACGATGAGTATGGGGAGATGGAAAGGGAGAGGGCGGGTGCAGGGGAAGGGGATTACAGTGAGGGGTATGGGTATGGGGACGGGGGAAGGGACGACGGGGGTGAAGGGGTGGGGGAGGGGGTGGGGGAGGGGGTGGGGGAGGAGGAGTGGAGCGAGGACGCTCCAGTGGGGGGGTATTTGGAGCGCGGGGGGGATGGGGGGCGAGGGGAGGGAGGACGAGGGAGAGGACGCGGAAGGGGGAGGGGAAGAGGAAGATTGGGTGCTGAAAGTGCTTCTGGTGCTGGTGCTGGTGGTGCTAGCGATGGGGGCAGGGGGGGCAGGGGACGTGGAAGGCGGGGGCGTGGGGCGGCAGGGGGGAGGGGGAGAGGTGGGGGGGCGATGGGAGGTGGAGATGACAGTGGTGCTGGGGGTAGGGAAGGGAGGGGGGGGAGAGGGGTGAGTGGGGAGGGGGAGGAGATGGAGTGGGAGGGGCAGGGAGAGGGGGGGCTGGAGGGAGAGGAGCAGGGGCAGCTGGGAGAGGCGCATGGGCAGGGGCGAGGGGGTGGGCACGCGCGTGGGGAGGGACGGGCGCATGGCGGGGTGACGGACGCGCCGTGGAGCCGCAAGGAGAGGCTGGAGCTGCTGCGCCTGCTCATGCTGTGGGGGTTGCCTGCGGTGAGTCGCACGGGCGTCTAACTGCAAGGGGGGAGGTTGATAGGGTGGTGGCAGAATGATGCGCTGGCGACCAGCTACTGCCGCTCCGTCAGTGCTGCGCCGTGAACTGCAAGCAGCCTGTCGGTCAGCTGTTCGCTTGGCTAAACAGTCAGTGGTTTGTGCTTTCGAGTGGTGGCAAGGCGAGCTATGGAGTGGGGTTGTCAGAGGACTGCATGTGATGGCTCTGCGTCTGCTGTGTCCTGCTGACCAGCACGATAATGGGCCCCGCCTGGCAAGTCACCACAGTGCCATCACGGAGTGCATGTTGTGATGGCACCGTGGCACTGTGGGCGCCTGGCAGGCAACCGCTGCGAGGGCGTCCATCTCCCATCATCAAATAGACATGCTGACGCGTGCCTTATCTCTCCCCATCAGCGCACTCTCAATGCGAGCGCTTTCCCCGCCTCTACCCCGCGTGTGCGAATCAGCATCAGCATGCAGGGCACCACGAGGAGGTGGCGTGGCAACATCCCGATGTGTTGCTGTGCGCACCACATGGCACCGCATGACACCACGTGGAACCACGTGGAACCACGTAGAACCTCATGGCACGATTTGGACTGGTGCTGCCTCTTTCTGTCTCCCATTGCACCACAGCAACAGCATCGGGACAGTGGGGTGTGTGCTTTGAAAGCTGAAAGACGCCCGCAACCAACCCCGACCACTCTCAAAACACACTCACTTCCCATCCCATCTCTCCCCTCTTGCCCCATCCCATCCCTCCCCTCTTGCCCCATCCCATCCCTCCCCTGACTTCTGCAGCACACCAGATAGCATTAACGCCCCTGCTCCTGCTCCTGCTCCTGCTCCTGCTCCTACTCCTACTCCTGCTCCTGCGCCAGCCTAATCTCCTTGTCTTTCTCTCATTGCCCCCAGGACCCCCATCAGGGCAGCAGCGCCAGTGTGAGCTGGCAGCAGCTGCGGGACCACTCCAACTTGGCATCGGTGCTCGCCAGGTCAGCAGCATCCGTGGCGGCGTGCTTTGATGACGTCATCACGGAGATGCAGCGCCGCCTGCAGGGCCTCCCCGCCTCCTCCCCTGGTGCCGCCGCTGCTGCTGCTGGTGGTGGGGGTGGTGGGGGTGCTTCGGATAGTGGCTTGCCTGTTTCAATAGCAGGAAGAGGGGAGGAGGGAGACGAAGGGAGTGTGAAGGAGGAGGGAGGGGATGGTGAGGTGTCTGGCAAGAGGACGTTTGCGCTGGGCGAAGGCCACCCGTCTGCGTGCCCAGTAACGCTTCCTTTCTTTCCACTGACTAAAGCAGTCCCTTGCATCATGTGTCACATGCACCACATGCACCATATGCACCACATGCACCACATGCACCACTTGCACCACATGCACCACATGCACCACATGCACCACATGCACCACATGCACCACATGCACCACATGCACCATTCCCGAATTTGTAGCTGTTCCTCGTGACCACATGCCATCATTTGTGCTCACAACACAAATCCTCACCTTCACTCGCTCTTGCTCCTCGACCTGCTCTGTTCATCCAACCTGCTGTCCCTTCCTTCCCGCCTGGGTGCGCCCCTCCGCACCATCATTGCCGCCCCTGCCAGTGCCTGCTATGCATGGAGCGGGTGGCGTCGGAGGCACGGAGGCAGCGCAGAGGGCAAGGTGGCAAGGAGAGGGGAGGAGGAGGAGAGGGAGGGGAGGGGGAGGGAGAGAGTGCGCTGCTGACTCCGGAGGACTCGATTCTCAATGCCAAGACAGCGGTAAGCCTGCATCTGCCCCATCACCTGCCCCTTCACCTGCCCCTTCACCTGCCCCTTCACCTGCCCCTTCACCTGCCGCGTCACCTGCCCCTTCACCTGCCCCTTCACCCGCCCCGTCACCTGTTCCGCCTTGGCCTTTCCTTCCCTCCGTCTTTCACGCCGACTTTGCCGGTCTCACCAGGGGCGGCCACTGCAGCGTGTGGAAGCAGGGGGCTAGTTGAGGCGTGCTCTGGTTGGGCGTGCTCTGGGGGGGGCCGGGCTGACTTGCCCTTTCCTTCCTCTCCCCACGCTTCCTCCCTCTCCCAGAAACAGGGGAAGCGGTTGGAAGCGGTGGAGGTGCTGTGGAGAGCTCTGGCCATATTTAACGGCGAGGGTTTTGTCCGAGCCTCCCCTTCCCTCCCTCCCTCCCTCCCTCCACTTTCCCCTCTCCCGGCCACAGGAGCGCCTGTTGGAGCGGTTGGAAGCGGTGGAGGTGTTGAGGCGGTCCCTGGCTGTCTTCGGCGGCGACTGGTTCCGCCTGGGGCTGTCCACGTACAAGTCGCACGACCTGCCCGCCTGGTGGCGCGCCGGCATCCACGACAAGGGGCTCGTCAAGGTATGCACCCACAGCAATGCACTGGGGGGGGTGTGGACTGGTGGGGGTGTGGACTGGTGGGGGTGTGGACTGGTGGGGGTGTGGACTGGCGGGGGTGCAGGATGGTTGCTTGCCCGAGCGTACTAGTGGCCCATGGCAGTGGTTGGCTCCTTTCTTCCCCCTTCCTGTGGGGCATGCTTGTGCCCATGCCAGCAACCCTGAAGGTCCTCTCAGACTGGCACATACTCCTTTCTCTCCTAGACTCCTTCTCTGTATCATTTTCTCCTCCCATCATTCCCCTCCCTCCCCTTTCCAGGGACATGTTTGCACTGCCTTTGCTCACTCGTGTGGTCCATGCATACGGCTGTTCCCCCTGACTCCATCGTTTCCTCTCCCCCTCCCCGCCCGCCCCCAGGGCATATTCGCGCACGGCTACGGGTCGTGGGCAGCAATCATGAAGGACCACTCCCTGCCCTTCGCCGCGCTCATTGCGCCCAGCAAGGGGGGCAGGGGGAAGGGCGGGAGGAAGGGTGCGGAGGCAGAACCAAGTGGTGCAGGGGAGGGAGGGAGGGGGGGGAGTGAGCAGGAAGACGAGGATGGGGTGGGAGGGGGGCCGGTGGGGGAGGGCGCCCCCAAGTCGAAGGTGCTGGTGAGGAGGTTGAAGTATCTGGAGAAGATGCTGAGGCGCCAGCTGATCAAGAGGGACAGCTCGGGACCCAGGAAGCGAATGTCCGCTGCTGCCAAGGCAGCTGCTGCTGCTGGTGCTGCTGCCGACAATGCTGCTGCTGGGACTGCTGCTTCTGGTGATGCGAAACCTGCTGCTGGCTCTCACAGTGGGATTGGCTCTGGGCCTCCTGCGGCTGCTGCAAGTGCACAGCAGCAGCCAGGGCATGGACACGTGGCACCTGCTGGTTGGCTAGCAGGTGGTCCACACAGGAGTGGAGGGGTAGGAGGAGGCACGGGAGGAGGCAGGGGAGGTGTGAACCTGGAGTTTACGTTAGAGAGGGGAGGGGGCATGGAAGGGGTAGAAACGGGCGGGGGAGAGCAGGGAGGTGGTGCTGCTGTGGGTGGTGGTTTCGGCAAAATTGTGGGTGGTCAAGGGTTGGGCATTGGCGGAGGAATGGGCCAAGGCATGGGTGGAGGTATGGGTGGGCTTGACTTGAATTTGGACTTAGGCGAGGAGATGGAGGACTAAACATGCCACATCCCACATGCCTTGTGTTCTTCCTACCGTACTCCCATGGTGTACACTTGCCATTACACAGACCATAGCACTACCAGGGCCAGGGATTGGTGAGGCACCCTTAGGAATCAGGGTAGCATGGTTTGTTTACCCTTGCTCCTGGGGCATTTTTCGGAACGCCCTGACAAAATCAGGGTGTTCTGTCTGGAAATAAAAAGTACACTGATGCAGGAAGGGTGATTTGCAAGATACCCTGTCCGCTAATAACTGAACTCGTCATGTTCACAATTGGTCTCAAATCTAGTTACATCTAGAAACAGTACCATATTCCTACATCAAGTTAAAAATATTTTCACAACTCGTACACCTTGGACTCACAGCTTCTACCAACTCGTGCTACTACGTATTACTCCTACAATTGCTACCACTACTCCAAGTCATGCAGCCCACAACTCACTACTACATACCATACCACATCTGTTCAGTCCACAACTCCTTCAGGCCCCTCAGAATCTCGGGCTGACTCCACAAACTGCTGCGTGCTCTGAACTGTGCCAGTGAAATCTCGAATGGGGCGGCAGATCTTGTCACCACGGAAAAACGCACTACATCGAGCCAGTCGACGTCGTAGTCTAGGAGGGAGCAGCGCATCAAGTGCCCAAGGCTGATATCTCCAATGCTGCCGCGCGCCCACGTCTTGATCAGGTTCTGCTTGGAGAACCCCCTCTCACACTCCACCGTGCTTAGAGGAAGAACAGACACCGCCTGCCACAGCCTCATGATGTTGGGGTACGACCGGCTCCATTCGTCGTCTCGCAGTGTGTTGCTGAGGGCTTGGTGGAAATCTTCAAGGTGGTGCTGAGAATGCATGGTTGAGGTGAACATCCAGAGCTCCCCCACGGCAGTATTGTAGTCGAAGCCTGGGAGGTGGGGTCGGGTTTGGGAAGGGGGGCAGGGAGATGGGAGAGGGAAGGCAGGAAGCGTGCCCGAGTGTAAGTCTCGATTAAGCATTCATCGGTGGCCAGCATGCACATCCTACAACACATACGTCTCGGAATCGGGTACAACATTAACATGGCCGTGTACAGCACATTCGGCCACCACATACCAGGAAGCTTGCCGCGGAAGAGCCCGTCCAACTGCTTCAGCCACTTCTTGAAGGCGGCAAGGCGCAGCATGTCGTCCTGGAGGTAGGTGCTGTCAGAAAGAGCTTGGTCCCTTCCAGGTTGATCAGGTCGTGTAGGCGGCGGTCGAGATGTGTGTTCACCGCATGGGCGTACTTCACAGACACCATCGGCACCATGTCCAGGCAGAGGTCGCTCATGCAGAGTGAACTCAAAGCTCACGGGCTTGCCATCGCCATCCACCCCTTCCGCCCGCATCTTCCGCTTCTCCGGTGAGGCATGCGATGCAATGAACACAGGCATGTGCATCTTCTCACCATGGCTAAAGATGTGGCCAGGCCTCATGTTGATGTAACGAGCCGCGATCCGCCACTTGGTCTGGTCCATGTGGTGCGCGACCAGAGTGACATCCACCTGCAGGGGAGGGCAACCATGTGTGCATTAGTACAAGGCGGTAACCTAAAGCCCGGAGCAATCCGAATAGCATCAGACCGAGCATATGTTTTGGTGCTGCAAGTAAAAGCATACCTGCCACTATTGGAACTTGGTGTTGAGGTGGTTGAGCTCGGTCAAGACGTCCGCCAAGAACCGCACCAAGAAGTTGAACTTGAAAGACGTCACCACTTCATACAGCTCACTCCCATGTTCGCGTAGAAGGATGATGGCGGCAGGAAGGACTTCCACCAACCGGTTCACGGCCTCTCCTCTTGAAAGCCAGCGAATGAGATGAAACCCCAGATGCTCTAGGGACGTGAGGCAGAAGATCAATTGCAGATTCATGAACCGGCCGTGCCATACTTTGCTGCGCCCCAGAATATCGGCCAGCACCCGTATGACAAGGTCGATCATGGCGAGCTCTGGGCAGTCAACCGCGGCGTCCATCGCCGCCAGTGCCTCACTGCATGGACATAAACAATAATGAATAAGAGTATGCAATTAGAAAAAGGGCAGATGCATGCATCACCATAAGGGACATGTCAACCGTCAAAGAAGATACAATCGAGAACGTACCGGTGAGCGATGCACTGTGCAGACACCAGATGCTCGATCTGAGCCCGCAGGCACGCCACCACTCCGTTTTGCGCGCCAGTCATGACAGAGGCGCCATCAGTTGAAGTTCCGACAATCTTCTGAAGGTCGAGGCCAATTTCTTGGATGTAGTGCAGGAGACATGTTCTCAAGAAAGCAGCATCCGTTCGGTCGATGCTAAGGAGAGTGATGAATTCCGTGACGACCGAGTTCCCCTTTAAGAAAGTCGCGAAGAGGATGAGGTGCTTGCTGTGGATGCGGTCCGTGCTCTCATCAATTGAGATGCCAACGAATGGAGAAGCCTGGATGTGCCTGATTTGCTGTTCTTGGAGGTGTTCAGAGATTGCCCTAATGGTCTCCTTGAACCCATACCTGCCATGAATACACGCAAGGGGAGCAACACCATAAAACGTTAAGGGTCTGAGAGACATTGAATATCATAAACATAAGTGCAATGAGAACTTTAATGTGTGGAATCAACACTAGTGCACAGAGGGTAAGGCCCTGAACTTACTCACTACAGTACCACCCGTAGCCCCCATCAGACGGCAGATCCGGAAATCCCTCCTTCGCAAGAAACCAGCACAACGGGACGAACATCGCGATCGGCGCATTCTTCTTACAGACAACAACGCGATGTGGAGACAACGGATCAGGTGGCGCGTCGAGTGGTCCGTCCTCTGCCACCGGCTGAGAGTCACTTGCCGGGCTCTCTCTTTCTTGGCGTCCTCCTTTGCCTTGAGAGCTGCTTTGTGGGCGAGCGTTCCGAGGTGTGAACATATACTCCCCAGATGCACGTCACACCCACCCTCGCCCTTCACGCCGTAGTTTGCATTGGCTGTTGGGTTGCCACTCTTGAGGCACACAACGCACTTGAGTGCCGGTCTGCCGTTCTTCATTTGGTTCATGCGGAGCCAGGGGAAGCGCTTCGACCAGTCGTTGTCGAAGCGCTGCTTGACACCATATTCCGCATCTGCTGCATTCGTCAGAATGGTGGTATCGGGGCGAACTTCTTGGCCTTGACTTGGCCTTGCAAGGGGGGGGGGCTGACTGGACGACGGGGAGGGGGGGCTCCCAGAGACGTTGCTGCAACCAGGTACCCGGCCTCTTGCGCTTTGTAGGCCCAGAGATGCGCTCGGACGGCGCGGAGTCCGAGGGGTTGGAGAATCCCTCGCCGCCGTCGGGGAGCACGTGCTCCCCAACGGATATAGACTAAGGAGCGCGAGAGGCAGCTGTAGGCGAGTCGGCAGTTCCAATGTTAGGTGGCGACTGATGAGCGGTTGGACTAAGCGGCCGCGATGGCGGAATGGGACTAAGCGAGCGACGAAACGATGGGGCTACAACTGGTGGGGCGAGAGGGAAGACGCCGAGGATGCTAAGGCCATTGCGACAGGCCTCTGGCGCGTTGCTGTCCTCGTCTTCCATCAAGATTGAAATGTCGGGGTGTGAAATAGGCGTGGAGGAGAATAAGGAATCAGCAGTTGTGGTGAGTATTTCTGTGCAACCAGCGACAAGGAGATGAAAGGGAGGGGAGAAGGGGAGATGGGTGGGTATCCTATTGAGGACAAAACCCCGTCGCGCCATTCAGGGACCACGCGGTCCACGTGAATGTCCGCAGTTTCTGTGCAGGTGCTTGGCGACGCGAGCGAGGGAACGAAATGCTGCCGCCGTGCATGGCTGTATTAGCACCGACGGTGCAAGGACTGCTGTGGTGGCAGGATTGTTGCCGTGCCTAGAGCTGAAGGTGCACATGCAAGAGCGGTGGCAATGCCAGCGAGGTGGGTTCGACTGTCGGTGGGCGGGACTGCCTGGACGGTATTCGCAGATACCCAAGATTCGACGGCTGTCGAATCTGCGACCCTCGTAGTTTTCTGTTACTGGGTCTTTTACGTTGCACCGTGACAGGGTAGGGTAAAAGTGGGAGGCCCCTTATTGCAGCAAGGTAGTACAACCCTTACACTTTTTTACTAAGGGTCAGAAGTAAAATAGCCTTACAAAATCAGGGTAATCCCAAAAAAACGGCCGTTGGCAAGGGTACACAGGGTACTTGAATCCCTGGCCCTGAGCACTACGTGATTGGATGGGATGTGATCTCCACTTCAGCATCCCTTGCGCTCAGTGCTTCCCTCGCTCACACTAGCTCCCCTCACCATCCTTGGAGTCAACTCCAATGTGTTGCCGAAGACACTGATATAGCCGTGTCATGCACGAGCATAGGTCAGGGCCCTCGCTAGCCCTTTTTCACTTTTTGAGTGATCATCATCAGAGGAGCGGACTTTCGATTTCTGATTTCCCAGACAAAGTGAAATACGGTTTCTAAATTTTCAGACAAGCCAATCAAGACTTTCTAATTGCCCCCACACACCAACCGCCCTCCCTGCCCCTGCGGCCTTTGTAACCTTACGGACCTGAGCTTCTTTGGTACTAGAAGCAATGGTTCGGAAATGGGGGGCGGTGTGGGTCTTAGAGTAACAAAATTAACTAGAATAGAGGGTACAGGGTAAGTTTGTACAGTAGTGTGTTGTACTCTCTAAGGGTACATTCCTATGAACCTCTTGTCTTGTCAGTTTAGGGAATGACAAGAGGTTCCCATCTATTACGGCACACGTCTGTTTTGCGCGCTGCTCTTTGTGAAAATTCTGCTGAACGAGATTGGACCCGTCTTACCCGGCCAACTTGACCACCAATTGGCAGTCCTTGTGCGACAGGTGTGTGTTCGCCGAAGTTCCGCAATGTTCAGAACCCAGATGCATGAGTCTTTGGCCAATCTCACTCCTGGGCAGGCCCCACGATTGGTTTTAGGGTACCCAGATTGCTCAGTGTCAGGTTCCAAAAAAAAACTTTTCATCAGCCTCCTCAAGAAAATTTACGCTGATTCATCAGTGTTTCCTACCAAAAGTTCGCTTTTCCATCAAGGTCGTGTACTAAAACATGTATTTTTTTAAAGTGTGTAACGCTTTCTAAAAATGTGTATTGTGGTAGTGTAGCAAGGGCCAACGCAGCAAAGGCAGCGGCGAAGCGCAACTAGCCCTCTTTTGCATTCATAAGAGGAACGTGAGGCCTCTTGGCCTCACCCACGTTCTTCATTTCTACTTCAACTCATTTGAGTTTCCCCGCCCACCCACCCTA